AGTCAATATTGGTGAAAAGTCGTAAATACATTTGATTTTCCTCCTGAAATTACCTTTAAAATAATACCAAATACATGTACCTACAACCAAAAATAAACCCCGTAGAAATAATAAAATATTACAAATAATAATATTATTTATAAATTAACGTAATAGTCCTAGTCAGAGAAATATAGGATATGACCTTAAAAAATTTCAAGAAAACGTTTTATGGTTTTATTTTGTAGTGTTGGGTTTGCAGAACAACATACTAAAAGTTGCCAAAAATCGGTGCACGAGAAAACCACTAAAATCACAATTTAAAATGGCGGATTTTCCCAACATTGGAAAAATTTTGAAAAAAGATACTACATGCATTTTGTATGAACATTTTTTGAGAAACTGACTTGGGACCACCGCCGATATTTATTAGGTCATTAGTACTTCATTTTGATAGGGAACGCGGTTTTGGCCGCCATCTTGGATCCGCCATATTGGACATAGATATATATATATTTTTTAAGCTAATGATAGTATTGTGACATATCATTTCAAACTACATTTTTACACTGATTTCAATGCCGAAATCCGTTTTTAAATATCTTTTTTAGTTTAGAAGATATGTTCAAACGAAAACTCTCCCCCATACATTTCTTATGGACGTTTCGTAGTTTGATAATTTTTTTCAGATTATTTTTCTTATATATCGAGTTCTTATTAACGGTTGCAGTTCGTTCTGGCCTTAAAGGGCTTCCATTTGAGCTCTTGGGCATTAAAATCAGACGAGTTAAAGACCAGCTACAAACCTCAGAACAATATCAATTTTAACTTTTAGAAATATATTTTTATTAAAAGATTTATAACTCGGGTTGTTAATAAGTCACCAAGTTCTTTCTGGTCTTAAATTATTTTGTAAATGCTTTTCTTTAATTTTATCAATCACTAAATAAAATCTGAAAAATTTAAAATGAGTCATGAATCTTCATTTGACAGTAAATTATTTCTTTTTAGAAATTTGTCTTTGGTTAAGGACATATATCCCGAACCCTAATAACTCCCAATAAGTAATCCATAGCTAAAATAAAAGTAAATAATGTTACGAATTATTTAAGACTATAACGAGTTTTGGGAGTGATTTAGAATTGGGGATATACGTAAAAAGACAAATTTAAAAATAAATACATTTTAATGTTAAATTAAGATCCATGACTCATTTTAAAATTGTCAGATTTTGTTTAATAATTAATAAAATCACAGCCAAACATTTACTGAGTAGGCTAATTTGAGACCAGAAAGAACTTGGTGACGTATTAACAACCCTAGTTATAAATCTTTTAATACAAATTTATTTCTAAACAGTTAAAATTGATATTGTTCTGAGGTTCTTAGCTGGTCTTTAACTCGTCTGATTATAATGCTCAAGAGCTCAAATGGAAGTCCTTACAATACTGAGTATTTTAAGGCCAGAACGAACTGCAACCGTTAATAAGAATTGGATATAAGAAAAATAATCTGAAAAAAAAATATCAAACTACGAAACGTCCATAAGAAATGTATGGGGGAGAGTTTTCGTTTAAACATATCTTCTAAACGAAAAAATATATTAAAAAACGGATTTCAGCATTGAAATCAGTATAAGAATGTGGTTTGAAATGATGTGTCACAACACTATCATTCCATTAAAAAAAATATATGTCCAATATGGTGGATCCAAGATGGCGGCCAAAAACGCGTCCCCTATCAAAATGAAGTAACGACCCAATAAATATTGGCGGTGGTCCCAAGTCAATAACTCGAAAAATGTGCAAAAAAGTATTCGGTATCTCTTTTTGCAAAATCTGTCCAATATTGGAAAAGCTGCCATTTTATATAATTAATTTAGGGGTTTCCCGTGGACTGATTTTTTGCAACTTTTGATGTGTCACTCTGCACACCACAAAAATAAAAATAAAACCATAAAACGTTTCTTGCAAATTTTTATACGATTCCTGTGTCTGTTTTATTAGTTTGCTTGGACTATTACATTAATTTATTGGAAAACTTTTATTTGAAATATTTTATTATTTCTGCGGTGTTTATTTTTGGTTGTACGTACATGTATTTGGTATCATTTTAAAGGTAATTTCAGGAGGAAAATAAAATGTATTTACGACTTTTCACCAATATTGACTGGAAAGTCATAATTTCAATAAAAATTAAAAAACTACTGGATTTGGCCGCCATTTTGGAAAAATGGTGGTGTTCCACCAAAGATATTTTTGGAGACTTTTGATATGTTACTCACAATACTTTTCACTATCAAACTACAATGGTTTCATTTGTGTTCTAATTATTTCTAGGTCAAACCATATATTCAGGGGCCTACATGTTATCCTTATGAAGAACATGATTGTTTACATTTTGATCAGCTGTAGTTTAATTGATGTTATTTATTATTCAATTCAATGAAACGCATTGAGTACATTTATTTGAGTTTGAGTTGGGGGTGTGTAAACATAACCCCCAAGACGGATCGTGTTAGTATGGTCGTATCTTTAATTTGTGTATTTATCGTTGTTTTGTGTCGCTATGAGGGATCGTGTTAGCATGATTGTAATTTAAATTTGTGATTTCTCGTTGTAAATATTTCATTTCAACCAAGTCAGTAAATGTTTGTAGCAAACTGTTAAACTAGCAAACTTAATTGACTGTTTACAATTATCATATGTTCTTCTTCTCACTTTTAATTTTTGACGACGGCTGGAGTTTCATAACAATATTTGTTTCCCATGTTAATCTTATGGAGAAATACAAAACTATTGTCACAAAAAACCTGCTTGCGTATTAAATAAGTACTAGTGTCCCTGTGTTGCTCGAATTCGAGCAATTGCTAAGTATTACAGGCGTTATTTGAAAACGAACTTCAACCAAGTCAGCAAATATTTGTAGCAAACTGTTTTATTAGCAAACTTATTGACTGTTAACAATTAACCTATGCTCTTCTTCTCACTTTTGATTTCCGACAACAGCTGGAGTTTCATGACAATTTTTGTTTCCCATGTTAATCTTATGGAGAAATAAGAAACTTTAAAGGGCTCCAGGGCCTCACTCTCTCATTATTTCCCTAAAAAAGAAAGTTTCCTGCACAACTTCACGTTACGCTCTTTCCAATGACACCAAGAACATGTAAATCGGTTCAGTAGTTTCGGAGGAGTAATTGTCACAAAAAACCTGCTTGCGTATTAAATAAGTACTAGAGGTCGTCCAGCGGTCGAAAACTCGACCAAAAATATGTAAATGAAATTAAATGAAAAAATTAAAATTATATGAAATGAAAAATTATATATTTATTCAGACAAAGTTAGGGCCACATGGCCGTTTCTTACACTATATTGTAATGTTCAGTGTACACCCCACACTGTAAATAAAACATGTGATAGGAATTTGTTTTGATTTTCTGTTTATATTTTGTTGTTATTTCGTCACCAACATGGCAACCCATAACTCCCATGTTATTTTTTTAAAGTTTTCAAATTCATTTGTTGTGCTTATTTTTGAGCCTATTTTAATTTATAAAGGGATTCTGCACATCTACAGGAAAATATCTTTCCAACAGTATGCGTAGATTTTCCCTGCGATGCACACGAGCTGAGAAAAAAGGTTTTAAAGAAACATGCTTGCCTATTAATATATTTAAATAAGTATAGATATAGATAGATAGACTTTAAAAAAATAGGAACATCAATCTCCTCAAAACCAAATCACCACAAATCCTTCAACCACTCAAAAGTCACAATACAATAAATCTATATATTAATTTGAAACTGTTTTTCTTTGTCACAGCTATTTTGAGAGAACGGCTGGGCGTAGAAACTCGGTAGAGGTGTCTAAAGAAAGGTCTTGGTCTGTAGATGAGCCATCAAAAGAGAAACATGGTGAATTCCCTTGGGGCTCTGCCCCCGTGGACTTTAAATTCCTATCCCATGTTATTCTTATGGAGGAAAACTGGGGTTTTGTCACAGCTAATTTGAGAGAACGGCTGGGCGTAGAAACTTGGTAGGGGTCTCTAAAGAAAGGTCTTGGTTTGTAGATGAGCCATCAAAAGAGGAAATAGGTAAATTCCCTTGGGGCTCTGCCCCAGAAGCCTATAAAGTTGTCTCTTCAGATTTGTTTATATTACGACCATATGCATAATTCTACACTACTTTTTAATGCAACAGCTGTTAATATTTAAATTGTGATTTATTGAATTTGTCAAAATGAAGTACAGTATTTGCAATGGATTTTTCTGATTTTAAAGTTTATTTTCTTCTGCATCGTGTCATGTTTTGCAATATAATGTTCTATTACCAAATCAGTGGAAAATCCTAATATCACAGTAACTTTTACAATTATTTCTTATGGAGTTAACTTATATCTATTGTATGGGTTGGTTTCTGCCTTTTTTATCACTACTTGGAGATTGTACGTAGGTGATATTCTTTGGCATATTGCATCTGTAGACGAAACTTGGGTTGGTGTAATTATTACAATGGAAAAGAGCGAGAAATCCTGGAAAATTTGAGATAGGCTAAAAATAAAACTGTATTAACACTGTGCTACATTTCTGGAGCAATCATTGAAATAACCGATTTGCAAACAAAGTAAACATAGAAAAAGTCATAGATCACAACCAAGTAGAAGAAATAGAAAAAAAGTTTTTTTCTTACACTAAAAACACTAAAAAAACAAGATCAGCTTTTTTGAAAAAAGATAAGACATTTACAAAATATTTTGATTATATCTAACTGTTATGTAGATCGTGAGTACTGTATTTCTATCATCTTTGAGTCGCCTGTAATGCTTCGCAATTGCTCGAATTTGAGCAACAGGTACACTAGTCATTAATAAAAACACAAACATCAGCTGTTATAAACTTTAGAATATTGTTATGCCTTATCAATAGTGTTTCATCAGAATATATAAAAAACAACATTTAATTTCATATAATTTTATTCATTTCAGTACATCAATACAGAAATAGCGATCTATACTAATATAAAGTTGGAAATGATTAATTTACCAAATATCGAAATATAAGAAGGTTTCAACTGACTTATACGATCCCCGCCCATAGATAGAACAGGCACCCTGCTAGTTAAATATCAAGATATCTCTTTTCACCCAAGACAAGGTCCATTAGTGGAAGTAATCATTTTAACAAACATAATAAACAGTTTTGTTTTTTACCAGGCAGAAGTACAAACAAATATTAAAAATTTAAGAAAACATCTTTATAAAAATAATAAAATTTTCTTAATTAAATCATCTAAATGAGAAACAAAATGTAAATAAAAGTATACTGGTATTCAAAATAAATATTAAACTAATCATTATAATGAATCTAAACTGATTTGTCTCCACTTCTTCAGCCTTCTCTCCCCCAACCTCCATGCCTCCATCGCCATCCACCCTGTCATCAGGCCTGGATATAACAGAACAAAAATTAATATTGAAAACTGTATTCTGAACAAGAAGTCTTTTTATGCAAACTTCTATTATTATTTAATGTGCTCAGTGGCGTACCTGGTGGGGGGACGCAATTCGCACCAGGTCCCACACCAACATAGGCCTCCAAATCAGGGCCGTATTACCCTAACGGCGGACACTGTGTGCATTTGCGAACAGGGTAAAATCTGTCCGTTTTGCGAACAACTTTAAGATGTCATACGTCAACTGTCCGTTTTGCGAACCCATATTTGAAACGACCCTTGAAACCCAAGATATTACCTGGAACGCGTAGCGATAGCCCTAGTAGCTTTTGAAGTTGGGTAGTTTTTCAACCGCTTTTGTGTTTGATCATTTACTCTATTGGTTTAAACGAAGAATAGTTAGCCAATTTGTCAACAAGATGTATTAAAATTAAACTAAAATATATAACAAATAACATGTTTGACATAATTTGGTTATGTGTAATCAGTTCAAACTCAAATCCCATACGTATGAATATCATTGAATTTCGTATAATCTTTTGACAAAAAATTCATAAATAATCTTTAGTATAGTACTTAGAAACCTACCTCATACTTAAACAATACCATAGTATAACTTTATTTAAAAGCAGCTAAATTAATATAATAATTTGTGAAAATGTTAAAACACAATACTGATCAAATATATATGGCACATGAATTCACTGTCAGAAAATAGAGTAAACTTACAAAAAAAAATTAATTTGTAATTTATAGTTTAAAAATACGACCCATTTGTTTTTGCTAAGTTTTCAATGATTGCTTTTTCATTTTCGTAGTTATTGAAATTTGGAACATTCTGTGATTGTGAATTAAAACTTGTCATTTTGTGTTGTCATAGGGCGTTGGAATTTATTGGCGTAACGAGATCTGTTTGGGTTTCTTTTGTATAAATTTTGAATAAATGGTTTGAACTACTGTACATTTTTCTACTTGTTTCAACTGCTTCTGTTGACAGGGCTATTCCATTTGTCTTAAAATTATTGCTGTTTCAGTACTAACCAAATGTAAACACTATGACATATTCAAAATAATTATAATTACTGCATGGTGTCAAAAAATATAGCCTACATTTCCTAAAAAACAAAGCAAATTTTTGGGCACCTCTCCAGTTAAAATGCTGGTTAAATACTAGTAATTCAGGAGGGTTATGCAACATAGGCTTTGGGGCAATGGACACGGCCCTGGATTTATAAGTATTAAATTTAAGTAAATGGCAAAACTTACCATAAGTTAGTTTTCTTCAATCTTAGTCTTAAACTCGCCCCATCCTCCATCTCCTCTTCCTCTGACACCTCTCCCCTGTATCCTCCAGTGTTGGAGGATATTAATTACAACACCCCCATTTTACTGGTAGGCTTCAGCTCTGTACAGAAATATTGCAAAAAAATAGTGTTATACAAATAATTTTGGTCTAACAAATAATACAAGTGTGTACACTCCTTTCTATATTTGCGATATTCAAATAGGTACACAGCTAATAGGAAAATGTTTGAGCAAATCTGGGTCAAGTTAGTACAAATATTAGAATTTGTAACAATAATTTGGTTTAGACAAAATAAATTGCTTCAAATATTAATTCATTGTTATTTCCTAATTTGCAAAAATGCAAGCTATAGCCTAATTAAGTCATTTCCAAACAACATGTTTCGAGATGTAATCCAAATAAATTTTAAGTAGGGGCCTAGTTTTAAATTGTTATAAAAAACTATAAATTTGCATACAGATTATAAATTATCCTCATGTTCCACCAAAAACTATAGTAACTAGTGGGCGAAGTGGCACTTTGCTACACATGAGAGAAATGCTTAAACGCAAGAGCCGTAGGCGAGTGTGGAAAGTATCTCGAGTGCAGCAAAGGCAGTTTGCACTTGTGTTACAAATTTTATTTTTCTTACAGTTATTATAAAACATATAAATAATTAGTCTTTCAAACTCTGTTCAACACGTTTATAGGTTAGGTTAAATCCAAACATTGGTGAAATGGTAAGCTGTACCAGTTGATTGTAGTCGTAATATCTTGAATGGGTAGCCAACTTATTTTCAAGTGTACGTATGTATTACGTGTCTAATAAAACCACGCTGTTTTGTGTTGTTTGGTTGGAATACAGGAGTGCTGCAAAAAAAGAGCGCGGTAAAAGTAAGTAAATGCAGCAATTAGCAACTTTCTGTGCTATAATAAGTACAAGGAAGGCCACTTTGTCAGGTGACAGTTGGAAAAATAATTCACATGCGCTTCATTTTGAAAACTGTGAATGACTGACTTAAACAACCTTTTTATTATTACTGTTATCATGTTAAAATGTGTAATTTTGCGCACAGGCCGCCTAGTTATTAGTTTATAACTAATGTAATAACTGTATACACACATTTTTTTGTCCTAGGACGCTACAGGCACTAGTCCGGAATTTTAATTCACATTTCACACTTCAGCCTAGGTCTAGAGCTGTGGTGTTCACAAAAAAATAATAATAAAAATAATAAATAAAATCCATTGGCCATCTGGCAGGATTTGAGCCCGGTACTGAAGTTCTGCTCGCTCCCCTAGGGTAAAGAATTTAGTCAATTGTAGGCATTAGGCAGGCCTATAAAATACGTAGAGGAGGCTATGACTTAGAGCATTGGAACGCCGATAAATATGATCAGCCATTAATATTAAACGGGGCCAATTGATGTGACATCAATAGGCCTATGAGCGAAGACAGAATTTAAATCCATGTGTGTAGCCCCTGAGCTGTTGGACATAATGTAAGACTAAATTACTTACGTAATTCCCGTCACAGCTCAATAAAATATGTCTATTCAGGACATGTTTCGGTGTTAAAACACCATCGTCAGCTTCAGGTACATAGTGTAGAGTTGATCAGTTGTTAACATCGTCAGAAGAATAAATAAACACAGTACGGACACGAATAAATACATAAAACAGTTAAACATTTAAAAAAAAAAACAGGCCTGTTCTAACAAAGATGACCGACCGCACAGGTAGCAAGGGACAGACTCTATCAGAAGACAGAATCATATTTATTAAATAAAGTTGTCACTTCCAATTGCTTGGTGTTGAAACAATCAGCTGTAGGCTTAAGTTACTTCACCCACAGTTCATTCCACTTGTTAATGTCATCCACTCTACCTTGACTATTCAAACATTTTGAGCGGTGATTAATTCCGTTTCAGTAATATTCATCTGCAGTGAAAAATAGTGGTCTTTGGATTCAGTACGTAAAAATCTACGCAGAGGATACGGGTCCAGTAACCGGACGTGGATTAGGCATCCGGCAGTTACTGTCATAACCTAACCTAACCAACCAAACTTGCTGATAATGAAAAAAATCGAATGAAGGTTAAATTCTGTCCATAAAATAAATTTATAAACGCAAAAAATTCAAACATAAGATATTGTGCAGTTAAGAATAAACCCACCCAATGGACAGTAGGCCTAGGACATAAAAATGTTCTTTCCATGATAACCCAACCTAACATAACTTAACCGCCACAAAGCGCTGTATTTCTGTAGCCTCCGGATAATACTTACCAAAGTACCCTACCGATTTGAACTTTGAATTACTCAGTTAACAAACAGCCTAGAATCTATCCCAAAGGAGAAAGAATATTGACTCACCTCACTTAAGTTATGGTTAGACCAAGGAACATTATCACAGCAGTATGGTAATTGCCTCCAGGGTACACAACTCTGGTCTCTCTTTCTCTCCCATCTGCAGTGATGTCGATGGCAATGTCGTCCAGAAAAGTTAGTCCTCTTAACTTATTGGTTCAAGACAATATTTAAAAAAGAGACCAATTTGGGTTCAGGTTAAATTACAGCCTTTGCTCCAGGATCATCTATAAAACTAACATTGAAGTCATCAGCAATGAATGATATAATCCAAGTCTAGTCTTACACCAAATACAAACAGCTCTAGAATATTTGACAGCACTTAAGTTTACGTCCTACACTCATTCCATTTCTATTTCTTTAATAGGCCTACTTTCTTTCTTATTACTTGGCAACCATACAAAGTAGGTCTAGGTATTTTAAGCCAAGTATGAATTAGTTATGGGATAACCGAATGGTTTCTATGACCGAATAATCAATCAGTTATTTTTTGCGTCAATCGGTTATTTTTAGTTGAATGAATCACCGAATCAATTTTAGTCATTAAGTATTCACTATCACAAACCACAAATAATTTTTATCCTATGGGAAACTGAATGGCATTTAGTCTTTCAGCGTCAATCGTTGATTTTTAGTCGGACGAATCGCCGAATAAATTTTAGTTACATTACCTGATGATGTGACAAACTAAATCAACTAAATCACCGAATCGCACAGTAAGACTAATTTAACCGAACCAGGATAAAATAACCGAATTAGTCTATTCAGCATCAATAACCGATTGATTCGGTTATTTTCATTCGGTGATTCCAACCACTAGTATGAATGGAGATGAGTGTAGGATGAGTGGAGCCATCTTGTAGTCTTGTTAGTGACTAAGACCGACATTCCTTAGACATAGCTGTTAATAGCCCAAACAGCTAATGGCAACTAAGGGACATACAGTTTATAGTGGAATCCGAACCACATTATTGCCTTGGTAGGTATAGGCCTATACGAATTGGTCTAAATACCAGGATAGTACTGGGGAGAGTCATAGTAAGTACTCACCGTGCGGACGTTAATCCACACCAGGGACTGTCGAATCCACAGTGCATGCCTAAATATCCACAATTCGTGACCTCCTAGTAGCTGGATTACAGGACAACGCCACCCGTCCCAGTCATATTGATTATTTCATTTGATAAACTTAGGCCTAGGCCTATATCAAGTTTGGCTAGTTAGGGTAAAACCTAACCTAACTAAAGGAATGGGGTACAGTTTCTTAACTGGGCTATGCTAATATCGATTGAAACTATGGGGATCATAATAGCCTAGAGATAATGCATATTCAAACATTTGCTACAATATTGCTTGATGATCCAGAATTAGCCTACGAATAAGCTGTATCTTAGGTTCTTGTTGGTGACTTACCTAAGTTAGTGTCTGGTAGGACTAATGTTATCAATCATGTTGATTAAGTTTTTTATCCTATAAAAATTAACTTAATTCTCATTATTCCTTAAAAACTATTGTTTGTAACACTCGAGTCATCTATTTTCTTGTAAACAAGGAAAGAAATAAAAAAGATAAATATTTACAATATAAAAGTTTTTTGTCAATAAATGGCCAGCTTGTAGATGCCCGTCGGAATTCGGAATCAAATATTGCGACTCGACTCGTGAGTTGAGGAACTGAACGATGAATTAGAACAACTCCTTTTCAAGAGTAGCTCCGAAGAACGGGAACTTGTCGATATACTGGGACTATTTCAGTGTCGACAAAGTGAAACTATTTCATTGTCGACAATATGGGATGTCGACAATTTGTGGTGTCGATCATTTGCGACGTCGGTTATTTGGGATGTCGGTTAAGTGGGAATATTCCAGTGTCGACAAACTGGGAATAATTCAGTTTCGATCAATTTCTACGGTTGTCGATATTATGGAACCCACCCTTCCATTTATGTGAATCAAATATAGGCCTACCATTGAGTTTGGATACTGCAAGTAGACTTTCCATTTAGATACGTGAACTAGACGTACCATTAATGCAGACTTTGAATAGGTACTGCAAATATGAATTCCATTAATGTGAACAAAATATACCATTAAGTTTGGATACTGCAAATTTGCACTCAATTTCAGTCATCTAAACCTTTTCAAATTTCCAAACATTCAGCAAGTACAATACAATTATTAATAAAAAGTTAGTCTCAATACATCGATAGACCAAACTTTAAAAAAAATTCAATGAAAAGAGCTGAGGTCAAAAACATGATTTATTTTCAGTCTGTACAGCGCGGTATGCCTATCGTCCAAGAGGCTTAGAGCCAGGTGATTAGGGTGGTTTTCAAGCATCTTTAGATATTTTACACTAATTTTTTTCTCTTCAACTATCGGAATTAAATAAAGTTAAAAAAAAAACTATCGGAATTCCACTGTCCTGGTGAAGTATAATATTAGGTGGCGTCCCCATCTCAATGATTGATAATTGATAATTAATTGATCTTGACACCACGGGGCTTGCAGGATGAATCTTAAAACTTTTGACTGAAATCATTGAATGATATTTATGTTTGAAATACTTGATATTCCCTACAGTTTAATTCCATAAGTCCAAATTGGCTTCCGAATTACTTTGTATGGTCATAGTTTATTTTCAGTGGTCAATTTTGATTTAATATTCAGGAGCCAGGAAAGATTTTTTAATTTTAAATTTAGATACATTCTTTAGTTTTAGATGTGATTTTTTCATGTTAATATTTTGTTAACCATCATGCCGAGATATGTCATTGAGGAATTTGGACATTGTTTAAGGTTACAGGAGGACAAGTACCTACCTAATCTGGTAGTGAAGGTCACATGAGTAGATTTATATTTGTTCTCATTCACTTTTATTTTCCATGTTTGCAACCATTCTTCTAAGTCATCTAGTGAATTTTGAAGATTAACTGAAGCTTAACTGAAGATTAACTGGATCAGGATGGGACGCTAAAATAGCAGTATCGTCAGCAAAAGTGGCCACAGTGGTATTCGCATTTTCAGGTAGATAGGCTAAACAGCTTAACATAGTGCAGGTCCGAAAGCACTTCCTTGGGGAATGCCATTTGGAATTGGGTACAATTTTGTAATGCCATCTCCAAATTTTACTCTGAAATATTTTCGGTTAGGTATGATTTGATTGCCATATAAAGTGTATGAGGAAGATTTAGTTTGAGTTTATAAAGTAGGCCAATGTGCCACACTTTCTCAAAGGCTTGGCTTACATCGATAAAGACAGCTGTGGCAATATTTTCTCCCCAATGTCTTCTTTATTTGTATCAACCAATCTATGTACTCGTTCACGGCCGCTTTTAACTCCAGGCCGCGGCCTTCGAAGTGGCAACGTCGCATGTAGGGTTGTAACAGCTGTTTTGTTTCGAAGCAGCTAATGGTATTTTTATTTATGAAAGCTTGGTTACTGGAATATGAAAATATTGACTCCGCTTTAAATGTACAAATAATATAGATTTTCAATTCATATTCTTTTGGTTTTCAATTCTGTATGTTTTATATATTTTCAATAATTTAATAAATTTTTTTCATAAATTTAAATTGCAAATTAATGAGCTGATGTCACCTGTCTGCCATGTTATCTTATGGGACGTCTGACACTAAACAACCCTACTTGCGACGTTGCCAATTCTACCAGGCCGCTGCCTTGTTGTTCTAGGTGGCCTTGACTTGTTCAACTGGCCCAGACAGCACGTGAGCTTGGACCAAACTTGGTTTTTACATATTTATGAATTGGTATGACAAACTTGGAGTTTGGAACCCACTACAAATTTAAAACAGCTTTGGTTAAGTGAACTTGTGTGAATGCGCCAAAACTAAACTTGTTTTATTTACATATATAACCTGGTTGGCCAAGTCCACAATTTAAACACCTAACCAGACCCACGACAAGCTTGTTCATGTGAGTCTAAAGTGAGCAGTGCCATATGACAAAAGAATTTTCCCTCCACCCCTACCCAGAACGCTCCTAAAACCTGTTTCTTTGTGCTGAACCACCATTTTTGTTGGATTTAGACTTCCTCACTCTCAGTTGTCAGTTCTCACTTATCTAGTTCTGGTGTTGTGAGTTACTCGTTTCGTTACTAGTTGTGAGTTTTGTTTATGGTTTTGATACCAAGACGAAGCAAAGAAGAACTAAGGGATTCCTGTAAAGGTAAGATTTAAACTCCATTGATAAAAAATATACTTGTGTTGGTTAGTCTATGATGATATAAGTAAGCTAAGTTAAGCAAACAATTAATTTCATTGCATCAAGAACCCGTAGAATTTTGTTTATAGCCTAAACCTTTTGTGCTTTAACCTTTGACATACTCAGCGCTTCACTGAATCGACAACGTCACTCACTATACTATACTCTAATAGTCTACTGCTGAACTCAACAGAACAGTGCCAAAATTTGTGTTTAACCTTAACCATTATAGTCAATGCCTTAACCTAGTCTACAGATAAAAACAGGCCAAACCATTAGTTTACGTATAAAAGTAAAAAAGTAAGAAATAAAAGTTTGATAACAATTTTAAAAACAAAGGTAAGTTAACACCCTGTGTTTGCAACACCAACAAATTCCAAATAATCAAATAACTATAATAACAAATAAAAATAATGAGAATGATTTAAATTATAAATTTTAATAAACCAAATAATTCTAATGCAATTGTATTTTTTATAGATCTTCTGAAGCAGGCGGTGGAGTTGATGGGTTCAGAAAAGAAGTTGAAGGTGAAGTGGAAGATAGTGGGCATTGTATTTATTATATTAATAAATTGTCTTGAAATGTGAATGTCTTGCTTTCTAAACCTCATATATAGGCCTAACCAATATTTTTTCAAGATCACTCATAAAATAGGCTTCATTTTATCATAAATCTTTCTTGGTAAAAAATTAATTATAAGAAAAAATGTGGGCTAGCAAATGAATGGTGTGACAAAGCTTATATGTTAAATAGGTATAAATTATATTACTATTACTACAGCCTATAATAATAATAATTATTATTATTATCTCTGATCATGACAGTAATTGAAGTATATAAAACTTCGTACCAAGTTCTGAGTGAGTCTATAGGTGTGAGCTTGTTTGCCCAAGTCTAAAATGTGCTAAAACCAATTCCAATATGAGTCTAGGCCAAGTCCAATATGAGCTTACTAAAAGCGGGCTTGGGTCTCCAAGACCCGAACAAGTCCATAATGAGCCTGTTTAATTTATCAGTGTGAGCTTGTTTGCCCAAGTCTAAAATGTGCTAAAACCAATTCCAATATGAGTCTAAGCCAAGTCCAATATGAGCCTACTAAAATTGGGCTTGGGTCTCCAAGTCCCGAACAAGTCCATAATGAGCCTGCTTAATCCATTAGACCCGTTTTGTATCCATCATTCCAAGCTTAGAGTGGGTTTGTGCCCATGAGTTCACTGTAGGTTTGGGGTTGGGACTTGGGTTGGACTTGGGGAGCCAAACCCATAACAAGTTGAACAACTGCCAACTTCGGTCTCTAAAACAAGTCAAAACCAAGCCTACAGACTTTGCTCCCTGAGTCTAAACCAGGCTTGGGAACTTGGGCCAATGGACTTGGAACAAGTTCCCAGCAAGCCCATTGTGCTGTTGGGAGTGGAATCTTTCCGTCAAAAGCCGAACTGATGATTTGGAATCAAGTTTCTGTACTTTACTTCTTCAAGTAGACGATTCAAAAAGAGCATCTAAAACAATTTAGACGTTATTGGAAGTACACTGATAGGTCGATATGAACTTGTTTGTTGGGGGCAGGGGGGCATTTGTAGGTACACGTGTATTCAATTTTACGTAATTTATTTTGAACATTGTAGACTACCATTTTAATATTGTTAAATATAACCTTTTGTGTTCTTTTATTTCAAATTATTTTATTGATAGTAAAATTTCTTAAATACTTGTGTATTTAAAAACCAAAATAAACTGTTATAAACTATAGGCTATGAATACAACCGTACTCAGTCCAGTCAATGAATGCTCAAAAGAGGGGTGTAGAGGACATGGAAAGGGGGAATTTTTTTTCTGCGGGAATGTGTTCGGGGTAGTTAGAAGATAAAAATACCAAAAGTCCCCGCCCCTAGCCCTGCTGCTTCAGCGGGGGGAGGGGGGGAAAGACCCCATTTTTTAGTTTTTTACTTCTACACTGAAAACCGTGCGTCGTACGGAAAAAAATGGTAAATTATAAAAAGAAAGATGATGAAATTCTCTACAAGGATGGTTATATTCATTTCTTATACATATGCATTAGTTTTAAAGATATTCTCAAAATAATATAACAACTATTTTATAAATTGATTTTTCAGACGTTTTTTTCCAAATAAGTTCATATAATCGATTATCCTGCTATTGTTTTACATTAGTAAGGATAGAAAACAGGTTTTGGATCACTAACCTATATAATATAATATATCCATCGTATATATTGTGTTAAAAATAGTTTATATAAATTTATTTAAGTTATGTATATTTGTCATGGAAACAAGTAATTTTGGCATAATTATTACACTAAAAATAAAAAAGATTATATTTGCAGCTACGTTTGTCCAGGTTTATTTATAACAATTACCGAAACCAAGTCTTTTAATACTATTGTTCATGATCTGACTCGCTTGGGACGAGAGGGTCCGACTTCTGTCCCAAAAACAGGTGCCATCTGGAACTGAGAACCACCATCTAGGACATTTCCATCATTCAATTCTTGTTGATTGGACTCAATATTGGCTATCGAAATGATAATGTGGTGTAGGCCTATATATTCTTTATCTTCCTCATTTATCAGGATGGGCATTCCATGTAAAAAGTTCCCTTAGCAGTTCTGGCATAACGGCCAACGAGGAACAATTATTAGACATTTAATTGCAGACATTTAATTTAACATAAATACTATTGGTTTGAAGATATTTTAGAGCTCAAATGCATATAAAACTATGTAATAATTATGCTTTAACTTCCAAATTTTTTAACGTCCAACCCCCCCCCCCCCTGAAATTAAATGCTGGGACCGTCACTAATACTGACTTTTTCAATCTGTAGCGTCTTTCTGTCTGCCATCTTCGTGCTGTTTTCTGAATTGCCATAGAATTGAACAGTGCAACCTTTTTGGTCTTTCTCATACTACTCTCATTAAATAAAGAGAAATGGAGCAAGTTCAAATCGTTAACAATCCTTTAAATCTTGATAGATTTTTTAACTTATACAAATCCGTTGAACAGAATTAAAGGTTTTGCTACAACGTTTTAATCATTGCAATATCGATGGTTGAACCAACAGAGGACAAAGGGAGAGCCATATTTTCCCGTGACAGCTTGTTGTCCGAAAATGATTACCATTTGATTAATTACTTACTGACCACGTAATAGAGCATTGTAACAGTTAACGGATTCATCTCTTACAAGCCTAGATGCTATTGACATGATGTCTTCAGTTTCAGGGAAGAGTGGGTGATTTTCAAATATTGCTGTCAGTTTAAAAATATATAAAATTTCATCATTTGTATAATTTTATCAAGGACAACTCTGTTTGGAAAACCAACTAACCTCAGAAATGTGGGGTTGGGAGTGCAAAAAGGTAATTTTTGTTTTCAGTTTTAACCAATGAACCACCTAACCCACGAGAAATGTTGGGCTTGTTTTTTTGTAAATATACTAAAGACTGTAGCAATAAAAGATGTACATGCAATTAAATGTCTATTAATTGTTCCTCGTTGGCCGTTATGCCAGAACTGCTAAGGGAACTTTTTACATGGAATGCCCATCCTGATAAATGAGGAAGATAAAGAATATATAGGCCTACACCACATTATCATTTCGATAGCCAATATTGAGTCTAATCAACAAGAATTGAATGATGGAAATGTCCTAGATGGTGGTTCTCAGTTCCAGATGGCACCTGTTTTTGGGACAGAAGTCGGACCCTCTCGTCCCAAGCGAGTCAGATCATGAACAATAGTATTAAAAGACTTGGTTTCGGTAATTGTTATAAATAAACCTGGACAAACGTAGCTGCAAATATAATCTTTTTTTTATTTTTAGTGTAATAATTATGGCAAAATTACTTGTTTCCATGACAAATATACATAACTTAAATAAATTTATATAAACTATTTTTAACACAATATATACGATGGATATATTATATTATATAGGTTAGTGATCCAAAACCTGTTTTCTATCCTTACTAATGTAAAACAATAGCAGGATAATCGATTACCTATATGAATTTATTTGGAAAAAAACGTCTGAAAAATCAATTTATAAAATAATTTTTATATTATTTTGAGAACATCTTTAAAACTAATGCATATGCATAAGAAATGAATATAACCATTCTTGTAAAACTAAAAAATGGGGTCTTTCCCCCCCTCCCTGCCGCTGAAGCAGCAGGGTCAGGGGCGGGGACTTTTGGTATTTTTATATTCTAACTATCCCGAACACGGAACACATTCCCGCAGAAAAAAAATTCCCCCTCTCCATGTCTTCTACAATACCTTTATTGACTGGACTATCTGTTGTACAAGAGAGATTGGTCATGAATTGAATATAATAACAAACATAATATTAATACATCATGGAACTATTGATCACGTTTCTTAGATGACTAACTTACCAACATATTATTATGTTTCCGTCTGAAATCAATAATTATTGTAAACTTCATTAATTTCCTGCCTGAATAAAAAAAATACTCATAATTTTGTTTTCATTCTAAGTGCTTTTGACAATTAAAATAAGCTTAAACTCCCCTTTTTTATTTCAAAACTAAAAAAAATTCCGTCTGCTCCCATACCCACCCGTGTTCCCCCCACAAGGATTTGGTGAAACGACGCTACTGGGGGGGGGGCTTCATTGGAGGCGATAACTGATTTGGTAAGTCAAGGAACTCAAGAATTTCATCATGACTATTAAAATTATTTATTTTTAATTTTGATTGGGATTAAACACTGGGGCCAAATGGTTTGCAAAAACTTCAGATTTTTCAATATAATTTCTTGCCCAAGTTCCATCGGAGAGATAGGCGGTATCGAGATATTTGGGCGGTTCATCCCTCTAGTAGCTTTCCATGGAGAATAGTTTGTTGTAATATTAGGTGACAAATTACCTGTATATTCATAAAACCATTCATTTTTAAGAATTTCAGATCCTTCTTGAGTTCCTGAGCTGCTCAGTTAAATTTAGTTTTGTCTCACGGATATCTAGTCCGTTGCCAAATTCTTGTTAATCTCCTCTTCTCAGCAACTTTCCGTTTTACATGTAGTGGATAGTTGTATGAAGTAAAAGGTTTTCCTTTGTTTTGTAAATTTAGTATTCGCTTGCCAGCAGGATATTGTTGAATTATATTGAAAAATTGTCTACTGCGTCATCGATGTCATCTGGAGTTTTAAGAGGTATTTTTAGGGAAAGCTCTTCATTTACTCTGTCTCGAAATATATACCAGTCAGTAAATTGATCAAACAGCTTGCGAGATTTACACACAACAGTCGAACTTAAGGTGACACTAATTGGTGAATGGTCTGACTGCAAATTGCTTTCACATCAATATAGTTTTCACCAATTCCTTTTGTAATAAAGAAATCTAACAAACCAGGAATTTTTTGAGGATCTGTGGGCCAATATGTTGGTTCAGCTGTTGATATAAACTGGAAATTGTTATGGGTGATTGATGTCAAATCAATTATAGTTCGGCCGCTTAGAAAGCGACCTCCTCCAGCATTGGTTTAGTTGTCGACCTCTTGGGTTAGCCAGTCTTGAGCCCCACATGGGATGTTTTTAACAGTCGAACTTAAGGTGACAATTATTGGTGAATGGTCTGACGGCAAATCTAGGCTTGCTTTCACATCAATATAGTTTTTACCAATTAGGTACTTTTGTAATAAAGAGATCTAACAAATCAGGATTTTTTTTAGGATCTGGGCCAATATGTTTGTTCAGCTGTTGATATAAACTGGAAATTGTTATTGGTGATTGATGTCATATCAATAGTTGTCGACCTCTTGCGGGTTATAGCCAGTCTTGAGTCCCACATGGTATGTTTTTGTTTTGCGTTGTAGTCTCCTCCTGCTATGAACCTGGGGCCAAGTGTATTAAAAAAGTTTGTAAAATATTGGCAAAAGTGAAGTTATGACGAGGTGGGCTATATATTGCGGATATAGTGAGCCGTCCAGCCCTATTTTCTATTACTATAGGTACTCATACTGGTAGCTTGAAGATGGTTGTGTTGATATTTGGGAAATTCATAATGAGATATGAAGTTTTTAATCAAAATAACACTGCCACCATGAGCAACGTTAGCCTGGGTGGTTTGAGTGGTAAAGTGAGAAATTTTAGAATTTTAAAGTAACCATAAGATCAGTAAAGTGACTTTCAGATACAAGCATGTTATCAATTGAAATGAAATTAAATGAAAATCCTTCTTTACTGAGGCGAACTTAGGACCTCATGGTCCTTTCTTACAGTTAACCTCTAACCAATTTGGTTTTGTATGATAAAAAGCTTTAACTTCTTCTCTTCTTTATAGTGACTGTGTTTATTTTCGCTCTGAAAATAATTAACTTGTTTTTACGTATTTTGAGCTCGGACTCTCTTTAAAGTCGTTACAAGTTTAATTCTTTGTTTGTTCTTTGTACTTGTTTCATAGTAGGCCTACCGCGGAAATAGTTAAATAGGACCATAAAACTTTGTTCAAACATAAATCTCCTACAAGCGCCTCCAGTTAATGTCAACATCAACTGTAAACAAAGCTAAGTATAATGTACAACAAACAAAAAAGTTCCTTTGCTATGCCTTTTGAGGAAAATGTAAGTGATCCTGCCAAAACGAAAACTTACCTTTTCTTCCTCTGAATCTCAACCGAAACGATATGTTTTAGATTCAAGTGAACTGTGTAGGCCTAAAGGGCAAACATTTAAAATTCTATCTGAACATTGTAGGTAGATCTAATGGCAATGACGTGGATCAATCACACGAGATGGATGATTCTACTTTATTTATTTTATTTTTTACTTCGCTTATTAGAAAAAGATAACTCGTCCCTTGTCTGTGCTGCAACAAAGGATAAGGAAGCCAGGATAGGACAGGACACTAGGACAGGAAGGAAAGGATGCACAAACGGTGAAACGGATCGATATGTGGCGCGGCTAGTGGTAAGTAAAGCAACTACTACAACAGTTGAATGCTGGGAACCGTCAGTTTTCTTTGTGCCGTTCGTTGGGCCCAGTCGTGCTGGCCGACTCGTTGTTCGCTCGCGTCTCTCGCGTCAGTGTCTTGTGTGGTGTGTAATTAAGATGTATACTTATGGAATCTTTTGAGTGACTTATTACCTACAGGAACCGATGGGAACGACGACCATCGGATTTGGTAGCAGACCGAATTTATTCAGCTGATGACTAGGCAAAGGCTTTCGATCCTATTTTTACCCTCTCCAAAATTACTACGCTCCATCAAATTAAAATTTTATTAGTTGCAGTTTCTATCCTACAGCCAATACTAATAGGCATAGGATTGTTTTCCTTGTGTTTCAAAATCCAAAAACTAACTTAACCCATCCGTATAAATTGGCTTGACAAGGGTATTTCCAAGAGCAAGATCTGTAGACCCTATCTTAAGCTTATGTTGGTCCTCTCTGATAACTTAGTAGTTCTCAGTAAATTAAGTAAGCCTGAGTAAATAAGTATTTTTATTCCATTATTACTTCAAAGTGCAAGGGGTATCTTGCCAGAATTTTCTTTAAATCTTCAACGGACTTCTTCTCTTTCGATTCACCCTTTCTCCTGCCTCATGTCTCAGGTCGGAGGGTCAGTTGTCTAGTTTGCCCCCGTGATCTGTCATGGCAGTTGTTGGCCCTAGTAGGCATTCAAGGCTGCAAGTGTCTATGAGTGTGATGCCAGGAGCGGGGGCGGCGGGCCACCAACAGGCCATTTTGGCTGCCGCTCAACCATATTATCATCCTCAACATGCTGCACACCAACCTTCAGCCACCCCTCAGGATGTGCAACCTGACAGACCAATTGGATATGGTGCTTTTGGAGTCGTATGGTAAGTTCAAAAAAATCTTTATCATCTCAGCTTTTAAAACCATCTAGGCCTAGGTTGCTTAGGCCTATGTTTGCTACTAAAACTAAGAAAGGCTGTGGTTTCCTAGACGCGTACAAGATGCGCTGTGTGTGCACATCTAAGACGCAGCACACTTGTCTTATGGAGTTTCGTGTAAGCGGTTTCCAAGGCTGCGTATCTAATACGCGCGCACCAATAGCTGCGTTTTTGACCGACTGCTTTTAGAGCAGTCGAATCTGAGTTACGCTGCGTTTTAGACGTCTTGTGCAATGGATTCATAAGTAAATGTTGTCCAGAAGGCAAAATTCTCCAGCAACAACGAAAAATGTATTGAATTTGTCTCCTGTAATGACATATTATGGAAGTACGTTGTTCATATACATACAATTAAAATTTGTATAGTACGATAGGTAGCCTATTACATTTCATATCATTCGTTATGTAGTGTTAATTTTCCATAATGTTTAATTTAAATATTTAATTCCTTTATTGAATGTTCCTTTCAATTAATTTGTCCTCACATATTTTCTTATTGTTGTAATTTGTAAATAAACCTTATGTTGACAAATATTCTTTACAAGTCAGCACAACACCAACTCCCAAATATAAGAGCCCCCATAATTATTTTAAGAACCCGTGAACATCTTAGTAGGCTAATAAGCCCATATTAATTACTAGCAGAGTGCCGGTTCTTCTTACGGGGTTAGCGTGTAATTATGAAATGCTTATTGCAGTTATATTCGTAAAAGGTATTTTCATCTATTCGGTAAATCCCAAATAGTTAAATATAATAACAGTAGGTAAAAGCAAAGTTGGAGAGGGTAAATTAAGATTTATTGTTTAAGTTTTAAATTGACATGTTTGCTTTAATGATACGGTTAAAACATCCGTGAGTGCCACGTACAGTTCCTAATCATGTACTTTTCACTGCTTACGCTTCTTCGAAGGTTCTAATACCAAAGTATCCATTTCATTATCTAAATCATCGTATAACATCATAGTAGCCACTAGTAATCTCTCCCGTGAACTTATGTTACGCACCAACCGTGTGTATTGTAGGCAGTCGAGGAAACCACTCACGGCGGCTGCGTTTTGGGACCTGGATGAAAGACGCAGCGCATCTAAAGCGCTGCGCATCTATTACGCGTCTAGGAAACCACAGCCTAAGCAATGAGTTGCAAAGTTCAGGTCTTTCTTTAAGCCTCGCTCATTATCTCAGCTTATTATTTAAAATTAAGTTGAAACCCATCATTCTAAAACATCTTCGATCAATCAGTTCGGCTAGGCTTACCTGGTCCTGTGGGGCGTGAGTGGCTTCATTACATTTTCATGTGTCTGGAAATAATTATTGCATTCCGAAGTGTCCATGTTGTTTATCTATATAATTAATATGCGAACACAAAGTTTGTCGGTTGAACTCCTCTGCCATTTCTTAACCCGGAATTTTATCCATTGATGTCTCATTGGAGAGAGGGTGTCACGTAGATTTGCAAACTGGCCTTACATTTTTGAAAAAGTCCCTCGGGCTCTGCCCCAGTGGCTTTTAAATTCCCATGTTATCCTTATGAAGAACATAATTGTTTACATTTTGATCAGCTGTATAATTTAATTGCTGATATTTATTTTTCATTTCAACAAAACACATTGGGTGTACAATTTACTGATTTCGTTAAAATTAAATACCTATTTAAGTTAGGTACTATTTTAATTTACATTTGTACATATTACAATGTAAAAAATCGAGAAAGCCTGGGCAATTTGATATATTGAATAAAATTGAATAAAATAAAATTGAATTGACAGGGTAGGTACTGTAATTCTTGAGCAATTGTTGAAAGAACCGATTTGTTAACCATGGAAACATAGGAAAGTAATAGAACGCCACCAAGTAGAAGAAATAGAGATTACAAAAAAATACTATCGTTATCATCCTATATAATGAAGAACACCTAACTTACAATATGAAGATTCCCACAAACAATGAACAAGGATGTTAGCCGAAGTGCTACTATTTTGTAGGGAACACGGACTTAACTTTATGATGATTGGCAAAGGAAACCCCTAGGCCGAATTAAACTGGTATGTCAAGGACATTAAATATGTTTTCATAAAAGTCAAGTGATTTTAAAATAATATGACTAACTTACATCCAAGAAACCTAGATAAAACTTTCATTGATTCACATTATTCACATTCAAAGGAAACAAGAAACCATCTGAATAACATGAAGCCTTTCAATTCTGCATTTTTTTCAGGTACCTAAATATAACTTACGTTATAACAGTAACTAGCCAAATTAATGCCAATTGTAGCAAATAAAATTGTGACAGAGAGGTTATGCAGAAAATCAGGCAGTTCTTTAGTAATGTAAACAAAATTTTATCGCTATAAATAAACGGTATCGGCATTCTGACACAATACTTTCTCCCATAAGTTTGTCAACAACCTTTATCATGTGTAAGCGGTGACACTAAATAGGCTAACCGGTATACGGAAATGGGATTTGTACAATTTTGTTCAGAGTTTAAAGGACTATAACATACTGAATTGTTATCAAAATCATTCGGGCCATTTTTTTAGAAAATCCATTTTTTCCGTTATTTTATGGGGTTTTATGAGAAAATCCCCGAAATTTGTAAACGTACTGGCGACAATGGGTAGTACCATGCTGACTACATTATCATTGATGAAGATCAACATGGACAACCAATGCGGCTATAAGTAAGTGGGAAACATTTGTAGAGTCCTACACTAAAAACCAGATCAGCTTTTGAAAAATGATAAAATACAAGAAATGTTTATTATATGGACCTGTTAGCCGTGTTAGCCTAGGTACTTAATTTATGAGTTGGGTCTTTTAAACTCATAGGAAATTATGACTTTTATTAGTTTTTAAGTAAGTTATTTGTTTTTAAATAGGCCCCCTAACTACTTTACTTCTTTGCAATTTACTCGATTTCGAGCAACATGTATACTAGGTAGGGCCTAGTTTAAGTTAAAGCTGTATGGACATCAGAAGGACTCTTTTTAAAGCGTTTCGGCACAGTAAGCTGTATTCTCAAAAGTCAAGGCCATACAGTACCAAGTTACAAACGTACAATTTGGTTTGCCAATTTAATGTGCCACAATTTGACAAGCCAAATGTGGCCTAGGTTTAAATTTGTCTAGATTTGATTTTGTGTAAGTATTTTAAGTTACTCGAGGTAACCTGTCTGCCCACATTGGCCACGTACACCGCTTCATGATATTTCACTGAGGGGTAGCCTAAGTTACAGTTCCGCTGAGAACCTAAGATACTTAATTTTTAACTTAGTTACTATCGGATGAAATATTAGTTTGAGATTCCATATCGAATACGGTATAGTTTTCTGATGATATAAATATCGATTGTAGGTTAGTTTGTTTAACTTCGTTTAGATAGGTACAACAACGTTTAGATCAACAAACAAGGTAGGCCTAATTTAGAGCCTAACTTTTATAAACTAAAGTTTATTGAGAAGGCCTACCTAATTTGTTAGCCTATAGGCATAGCTAAGCTTAAAACAACTAACAATACATCAATTTGTGTTTGTACTAGGCTAAGTTAAGTTTTATTGTCTCTTTTCAGAAATTTCATAGGTTTTAAATTGCGCTAAGCTTACTAGGCCTAAGTTTAAAATAACCTAACCAAAATGCTGCATTGGCGGACTTTTAAAGAATATTTGGGTGAAGAGTTTGTTTTATTAGGTACCGGTACATATTAAGTTACCGTAGTGATAGATCTTTTCAGGGTTAATTTTCAAGAATAAGAATGAAACACAGCTGAGGACCCCCGAAGCGAAAATATTTTATACACAGAATCTGCAAGGGAGAAAAGCTACAATCGATTGTCAGGAAACAAATTTTACTTCTTTGTTTACAACCGAAACCATAGACTAAGCAACACAAGTATGATTTAGCTAAGGGAGTATGATTTATCTATGCCGAAACCAAGACAGTTCCAACCGGCTCATATAGCCTACTATATAGGCTACATCCCACCGGATGTCTCAGAATTTCAGTAAAGTCCCACATTGAAGAAACAAGGAGAGAATTAGGCCTAGGCAAATTTCAGATCTTATGGAAGGGTAAAATTATGAACAACGACCGATTATCTTGAGCAGGAGTGTCCACAAAAATGTTGCTCGACTTTTGGAAGATGGTCTGCGCACTGCAATTCCTCAATTTCTCCTGGTTGTGCGCAGTTTACCTTTGTTCGGGTGGAATTAGACACACATTACAGAGTTGGTAACTTACTATTTTAGCCAATTAAATGTTTATGGTTTGTTGTAAAGATATTTGATATAACTATTTACAAAATGTGTCTGTTTATGATATTTTAACTATTAAACCCCATTAACCACGATCGAGCAAGGCTTGGTGCCCCCGTACTATACCATATAGGCCTACATGCAGTGCCTTTACCATTTAAAAATATGTGCTAACACTCAACGTGCAAAATTACCATACGGTAACAGATCCTAAAACAGGGGCACTAAATACTATGATGGTATGAGTAGGCCATAGGAAAGCTTCCTCACACTGTTGGCTCACTTTCTCTCAGTAGTTTCCAATGCTAAGTACTTGTGATCTATTTTGGTAGAAGGAAACAATAATGTACAAGGAAAACCAACTAAGGATACAGTACAATATTAAAACTTCATTGAAAATCAAACTCACAATGTAGAACTATTGAATACCTAAAGAGTCTTTACATTTTCATAAGACACTAAGTTTAATACAGTGTTAAGGGTGTTTGGTCGTAAATTTTCATGTCTAATTTTTTGTTATTGTTCAATTGTAATAAAAATTAGAGATACAAATATATAAGAAAAAAGTTTTATTTTGAATATTAAGCGAGATATGGAGCTTGAAAGTAGTAAATTTTTCATCTTTGGTACAGTACCAATTCACAGGGAGATTGGGTACCTAATGTGATTCTCACCAAAATTGGCATTCAGGCG